ATGAAGTAATACACAGAAAACTGCTTTGAAAAGTCCAGAGTGCTATACAAATGCCAGGGATAATGATATGTTTCACAAAAGAGCATTATTCCTTTGCTAAGAAGGGTACATCCACATTCACATTTTCTATCTGTGAAGGTTCTTCTTTGAAATTAAATTGAGACCGTAACCAACATCTCTCCCAGTGCTGCCTGAGGTTTTACTCAGCAACAAAGCAAGGGCTTCTTTCATCCTTCATCACATTTGAGTTCAAGCACCAAGAGGTACTTTTTACCAGTGGTGAAAATAGCTTTCTTTTCACAGCAGAAACACAGAAATGAGCTGTCTCGATGCTAATGGAAGGATAAGGCTTGTTCTACAGTTGCCACCACACACACACACACACACACACACACACACACACGAAAAAAACACCTTGATTTGATTTGGCTTTGTTGATGGTGTGTTCCTGCACCAGGAAGATGGGAGTGGCATGAGAAAGAGGAGAAAGTACATGAAGCGATGGCTTCATTTATGCATATGAATAAAGAAATATTGACATACATTTTCAAGTGGTCATCTTGTTCCATTTTTCTTTCAGCTTTCAGTGCCCCCTGGACGCTCCCCTCTAAAAAAAGTAGATTAAACCCTTCAGCCTTCATGCATTCAATTAATTCTCATCATACCTGCCTTATTTGGATGCCTTCAGTGCTTTTTGAGTTCATCATAATTTCCCAGCAGATCTTCTACAAATCTGACCCCTCACTTCCTCTCCAGTGCTTTTCCTGCTCACCTCCCACAAAAGCTGTGTGTCCAATTTTGTCTGATTTTCTTCTGCTGTTTTGAGGTGCCCATGCTTTCAACCTGAATGGATTTTCTCTGCTCTCCCCTTGGCTGGAGATGTCTTCTACTTCTACCAGGATAACTCTTATCTTGGCCTGTTGAGATCCTACACAACCTCCAAGGCACATCTTAAATGCCCATAATTTCATGTAGCTTTCCAATAGCAGTCTCTCCCCTTTCTAAATACATTTTAATTTTCTCGGATTAAAAACCACACCTTTAAAATGGCTCTTAGAGGCACACAAATCATTGTGTCTGGTGGGTATCTTTTCCACCCCAATAAAAAATGAAAGCTCCTAAAGTTCACTATGGCTTTGTTATTTTATTATTTTATTTTTTAAACATTTATTATGAAAAATTTCAAACATATACAAAATAAACAGAAGGCACTGTTTGTTTTTGCATCTCTCTGGGACCTATCACAGTGTTTTGCATGTAGCAGAGGTAAATTTAAGTAATTCAGGCCTCAGGCAAATGGAGCTGTCTGTCTGCATATCTGACATCATTGTCTCCTGGATGGTTAAGCTTTTCCTCAGTAACACACACTGCCACACAACCCACACACCTGTAGGATCACAAACTACAAGGATTAAACCCGCTCATTGGCTTTAAAATTCAGGGAAAGTCTTTATTTTGAGGTCAGTTCAGATAATCAGTAAAGCTAACTATATTCGAGGGGATGCGGAGAAAACATTTATATATTTAAGAATATTTTCTAAGAGAATTCAAGTCTGGTTGTATATCTGTTTGATTTTCTTAGTAAGGCACATTTTTTATAAATGTGTAATACCTGAAGAATAACATACAAATATGAGGGTTTTCTAATAATACCAGGTTTTCTTCACTTTACATTAACATTTTTCAATGTCTTCCCTTCTCAAAACCTCAGACTCCTAAAAGTCTATTTTAGATATTTTTTTAACTTGCGTCTACTTAGCCCATTTTTTGCTACTACTGAGTGTGTGTGTGTGTGTGTGTGTGTGTGTGTGTGTGTATTTGGGAGAGTAGTCAGATCCTTAAAGCAAACCAGAATTCTGGAGTGATAGATTACATGTCCATGCTGTGTCATATCCAATTATCTCAAATTGACTGTACACTGCATTATTCTGTTAGTGCATGGAAGATCAATAAATATGGGGAAAATCCAGCCCAGCTCTCCACTTTCCCATCCGATTCTAGTAGGTCTGAGACGGATCATGCTACTGTGATGTGTACGCCACAGCTAAGGCAGGCAGGTGGTGCATAGACACCATTCAAACTTGGCCTATTCAATCCCAACTCCTCTAACTCTCCATTCATGCATAGCAAAACACCATCTGGTCCTATTTTGCCTCCAGCAATCACAGCTGACCAAAAACGATAATAACAGCTGTTGCAAAACAAAAGCCAAACAAAGGGGGTGGGGGGGGGGAAGGAAAGGTTATATTGAAGTCCAGTGCTGAAAAATGCTCCATGAAGTGAGAAATGGGAAAGAAACCATTCAAATGTCTAAAGCTCACTGAATGGACACAGTGGAGGACTTCTACTTAAACTTGAGATATTAATCCATCTGTCTAGAAAGCCTTCAAACCTCCGTCAGGTGGTAATATATTGCAGAAATTATGCTCCATGAAGGCATTTAAGCTTTTGTTCTTTGAGTCGGGAACTCATGACCCCATGTCAGCTAAAAATGAAAATGCCTTATGTTCTTTCATCATACAGCAGTACAGGTTAATGCAAAAAGGGAACATGTTTAGCCAGAGTAATAAAATAATATCTACATGGCATTGGGAGAGACAAGGGGTGTGTGTGTGTGCGTGTGGTTGTGTGTGTGTGTGTGTGTGATGGAGGTGGTGGGGGTGAGGGGGATGTCTGTAGACCACTTAAGAGGGAAGGCATTTAGGCCACTTAGGTGTGACACTAATCAGATACCACATTTCTCATGTCTATTTTTCATTATCCTGATTTATTTCTGACCTCTAACAAAAGAAAAAGTGCACCAAGTACTTACTTAAGTCTTAGGAATAGAAACCAGTCATAGGTATAAACTGAAAAGTAAATGGATACATAACATGCTTTGTGAATCCTGAAAACAATAATATGGTAACAAGGTTGAGGAATTCTTTTCATGATTCAAGCCTTTTGACATTTTAAATATATAGTTTTGTCTGGTAATTAATTTTATAAACTGCAGTCATTAAGCTTTTTTTTTTCCTCTGGAATTGACCGTCACTGGCTTAGCAGCATTTAATCAAATGTGATAAAACCTAAGATTTATAAAAATCATTTAATAGATGTTACAACACCTGCTTCTAACTGCAAACAGTTGAAAACAGACTTCACTTGCAATTAAGTCTTATCACTAGTGACATTTTTTCCAAGCAATACTTCATGGGTTTTCAAAATGACAATTACAGAACTAATACACAATTACTGTCACATGTAGTTTAGCAATTAATTTTGAAGACATTTGTCTAAAGGTTTCACAACAGAATATAAAATGGTTATTGTTATGTAATGTTAGTTTCAATTCACAGAAAATCTTTTACCATTCGAGCTCTACTTCTGCTGGATCTGATGCTAGCAGATCATTTCTTTGTGGAATACAATCACTCCCTTGTAGCTGTAATTAGGCATCATTCTAAGGCTGTTTGAACACTGATACCTGTCAACTAATACATCTTATGAAAAGCTTCAATTTAGACATAAATTTTTCTACAGCAAGAAATCCATAAATTTATAATTAGAATCTCTTGCTGTTCAATATTTGTACATAATACAGAGTAGGAGAGGATTATGAAATATTGAAAGCTGAATTCATTATTCATAACCCACAACATACAGTAAATATTCTCTGAAATATAACAACTTTGAGGGATCCATATTCCATTATTTTTGAATGTCTCACACACAGCAGCTATGAAGCGCACCACGCACACCCTCATTCTTTCCAGATTAGGATTCTGGTCAGGGTTGACACTTGCTGTTTTTAATTTTCATTTTATCATAAGCAGTTTAAGACTGTTGCCAGTGGTAATTTGCAATTTTTATCAAGACCTCTTCATTATAGCTTCTGACAGGACAGATGCTGTAATTAATCATGCAAGACAACTGGGGATAGTGGTCACACTGCTCTCAAAGAGGAACCGCTACAGAGCAAGAAAAGGGGGGAATAAATGGGCACTGAAATAATTATTTTGGCTTAAGAATTAGCATTCACCATCCATTTTAATAGTAATAACACCACAATACCCAGGTAGTTCTAGCCCCCCCGCCAAAAAAACGATTACTTTTTTCTCGCTATACTTACCTTGTACTTGCATCTTTTTAAAAAGACAATTACACAAATATTCCCAATGGGTTGTTTTGCTTTTTTTCAAGGATCTTCATTTCAGGCTATGCATTGTGTATTCTTGGCCATAAATATCATATTTCCAATTGAAAAATGGAAGATGATGCTTGGGCTGAAATGAAACTTGGTATGTGGCATATTTCCCCATCTTACATGTATTCAAGGAACCAAAAATGAAATCTGACATATCATTTTATTTGAAAAGTGAACAGTTTCCTTGTTGTTGCATCAAAATACAGTCCACAGTTTTTACTGAAATGTGTTTATTCTATAGCAAGATAAAAGCATTTTTGTTTTAGTTAAGCAAAATACAAACAACTTAATTGCTGCTATCATAACTCATAAAAAAGTATAAAACAGCATAAAAACACAATAAGCAACGTAGCAATGAATGGTTTATGTCACCAGTGTTTACGTTAAAGCCTCATTTAGGAAAACTTTACAGCACATGATATGAAAACTTACAACTTTGAAAGAAAATATTTACATTGATTATTCAGATGTGGTGTGCCTTTTAAATAGTCTACTGGTATTACATCATAATAAAAACTCTTGCTTTTTCTTTTTAAATCTTAACTTTTGTAATAACTGTTCTCATTTAAGTGCATTTCCCTTTTAAAAATACAGTGTTTTTATTTTTCGAAACTTGTCACTCAAAACACGGAATATAATATTCACATTTCTTTTCTTCTAATTGGAATGAATATAATGGGCTAACAGTGGCCATAGATATTGTTACAACATATACTGTGGTTTGATTTGGAGAAGTCATGGATAAAAAGTGTGAATAAGTCAATAATTGAATTTAATCACTTGCATTTTTTTTCTGGAGAGATTTAGGAAAAAAATAAGAGCTTTGGCAAAAGTCTGTGATTTACATTATTTTTTTTCATGACAAAAAAATGCCATCAACTATTCACGTCATACAAATGTTTGTATGAAACTGGATCTTCATATTTCAGGTAGTTACAACTGTGCTTTTTATTTTTAGGGCTTCAGAAGTTCAGATAGCCTGGAAGTGTGGTTTACTCACTTCTAGAGAAATAAGGCCATTTTCTATGACTCAGAGAGGCCAGTTTATAGTCATTAATATGTCCCAGGATTCATTAAACAGTTTGATTCACATATTGTAGGTATAGCCTGAATAAATAAAAAAGGCATCACATAAAAGAGCACAGCTTTTCTCGTTTAAAAACAAAGTGATTTATAGTCAGCTAGAAGATGTTACTCAGCTACACTGTAGTTCTTATTGCCTATCTAATAGACACTTGAGAGGACCGTTTGATCTGTTACACATTTCTGCATAACCAACACCAACTTACAGGTTTCAGCCACATATGCTTTACCCTCCTATGCCACTCTCCTCGGTATGCACAAATCCGTCTGCCACATGCGTCTTCAGAAAATACTGACCTGCGATAATACTTGAGTCTGTGTCTGAGACTGTATTTGCGACTGGTGCTGCTGAGAGGCTGGCTGGGGGCTCCCGATGGCAGGGATGGGGGATGTTATCTGAGAGGCGACGGGAGAGTGCTGCCGAGGAGAAGGCTGAGACTGGTGCTGCATGTGTTGCAGCTGCTGCAGCTGGAGGCGCTGCTGCAGCTGCTGCTGCAGCTGCTGTTGATTAATTTGCTGCTGGAGATGCTGCTGCTGCTGCAGGTGCTGCTGCATGTGGTGCTGGAAATGCTGCTGCTGCATCTGCTGCTGGATTTGCTGATGCATTTGGTGCTGCTGGAGTTGCTGCTGCTGCATCTGTTGCATCTGTTGTTGTTGTTGCTGCTGCTGCTGCTGCTGCTGCTGCTGTAACTGCATCTGATGCTGCTGGGTTTGCACCGAAGGGCTCACTTGGGTGGAGGGTGCTGAGCCAACCATGGTCGTTCCCATGGAGCTTATCAGTGGAGCCCCAATGTTCGAGGGCATGTTGGCTGCAATGGTGACTGATGTGACAATCTGGTTCATGGGGAGTCTCATGGTTAAGGGTTTGGGAGCGATTGACCTAGGGAGGGATTGCTGGAGAGTCTGAGGTGATGCTGACACTGTTCCATGTTGAGACAGCGGAGTGTTGAGAAGGAGGGAGGATGTCAGATTGGTCGACGCCAGGGTCTGCTGAACAGAACGGATGGTCTGGGCTTCTGCTGACTCAGCAGCAGCCTGCATTTTGGGGGAAAAAATTCCAGACTGTTACAATACATAAGTATTTAAAATATTTAAGCATTTTTAGATATTATAAATTGATTTTTTTAATGGCCACCATTATTCATGCCCTCCTGTATCTGTACTCTTTGTCTTGTGACTTTTTCACTCCTCCCAGATGTGGAGTCAAATCCCCTACCTCCTTGAGTCTGGGCTGCTCTAGTGCCTTTGCTTTGGCTGACAGAATGCCCTGGCAGTGATACTGTCCCAGTTCCACGATGAGGCCTTAAGCCTACCCCTGCCATGTGCATGATGACAGATATGTGGCCCAGTTACCCACCGCAAGAGTCAGTTCACTGCCGTCCAGTCAACTGTGATCAATGTGAATGAGTCCAGCCCCTCCAACATGCAAGCTGACCCCAGACAGAAAAGCAAGACTAGCTGATTCTACTACGCCTGGCCTAGATCTGAAGAACCAGCCAGCTAACTGGCACTCTCTGAAGATAAATGCTCATCTTGTACCACATCACTGAGCTTTGGGGATGGTTGTTACACAGCACTATTGTGGCAAAAAGATAACTCATACATATATTTAACAGCAATAATTCTTCTGCATTTAACTCTGTACTAAGGACCTTACCACTGAGTACCATATGTTTAAAGACAACAGAGTACAGGCTGCCTGAGTTCAAACGCAGTTCTCTGACTTAACAACTTTGTGACATTGGACAAGTTAATTTACTCATCTGTTCCTGTTTTCTTATCTGTAACATTGGGTTATACGGTTTCTTTCTTTCTTTCTTTCTCTCTCTCTCTCTCTCTTTCTTTCTTTTTTCTTTTATTTTTTGTGAGATGGAGTCTTACTCTGTCACCCAGGCTGGAGTGCAGTGGCACGATTTCAGCTTACTGCAACCTCTGCCTCCCAGGTTTGTGCCATTCTCCTGCCTCAGCCTCCGGAGTAGCTGGGACTACAGGCGCCCACCACCACACCCAGCTAATTTTTTGTATTTTTTAGGAGAGACGGGGTTTCACCATGTTAGCCAGGATGGTCTCGATCTCCTGACCTCGTGATCCGCCCGTCTCGGCCTCCCAAAGTGCTGGGATTACAGGCGTGAGCCACCGCGCCCGGCCAGGTTATATGATATTTTTCTTGTGCAGAGGTCGTGAGAATTAAATGAACTCATATGCTAAGCATTTAAGAAAGTGCCTGGTCCATGGGAAGCAACAAATATTAGCTATTTTTATTAGTTAACAATTACTATTACCAGAAAATGGCCACTGGAATACTTGAAAGCCCTGTATTGTGTGGTTATTTATAACAAGGTTCACTCAAATATAAGAAAACCATTATTGGTTTCCTCAGAGATACCAAACTGAAGTTTTCACAATTTTAGAAATGTTTTATTTCATCACCTATTTTTGAAGATTTCCAGAATTTATTAAAGGAGTCATAGATAAGGGGGAAATGTTCAACTTCATGGGACCAAATCGCCTGTTAAAAGATAAACAGCAGATATAGGGCTGAACATAGAGAGCAAGTACTACTTTTTGTGCTAAAAACACTTCACTGCCTCCACAAAAGGAAATTCTTCCACTAATGCAACAGTGGAATGATTCATTCCAAAGACAATTTTTTCCTTGTATTCTTCATTTGATTAGGATGTTTTGGGGGGAGTGTTGCAGGGGCACCTAGGAGACATCAAGCAGCCATCTACTATCTTTAATAATTGTATATTTCTAAATTTTTATGACTCTGATTTATAAAATCCTGCTGTTGGAAAGAAACCGAGATGTAACCTCATATAGAGTCATCCAGTGTGTAGGAATAGCCACCTCTGATGTTTTCTGTTTGAACACATGTCATTATCGTAAGGCACTCCCTTTCAGTGGACAGCTCTCCACATTACAAAACTCAGTGCGGCTGCATGTTCCTGAACGGTCATGTTCTAAGGCCTTAGGGTAAGAAGCAACCTATAAATATTCAAATTTGTCTTCAAAAAACCATTAAATCACCCATAAAGTAGAATACACACAGTAAGCATGTACATAATTCTTATATACTCTAGTAGTTAAAAATTAACAAGCTGGTCTTAAAGAAAAAAACACAAAGAAAGTCTGTATTTCAACACCTGGGCAGCTCAGTTGCACAGTTGTGCCTTTAAGATGCTGCCTTAATGGTAAATGGAGATGGGTGGATGATTGCAGAGTTCTTCCTTGCCTGTCTTCTTGCTCCTTTATGGTTTAATAGTAAGCGTCCATGAATTTCTTTGGTTGTTGTAAAGATTAAAAGGGATAGCAGAGTCATATCTTAAGGGGGGAGGTCTGAGGCTCCGCGTGTAGAGGCATAAGTTAAATGTGCATATGATGCAACCCTATTGATGTTTCTGATGCTGGGGCTGAACTCTCGCTCCCTGTAAGCTCACCCCTTGGATGAGTTCTCCTCTCTTGGGCACAAAGATCGACTTCATTTCTCTTATATGACAGCCCTTATATTTGAGGACTAAGATCATACGCCTCCAAGTCCTTGCTTCCCTGATTCTTTCAGTTATTCTAACCTGATGTGATTTTCAGTCCTCACCATCATGGAGGCAACGCTCTAGAGAGGCATCAGTTGATTGTCATCTCTCTTTACATTGTGGGACCCAAAACAGAACCAATTCTTTAGAAGTGGTCTAACAATCACTGTACAATTCGATGCTGCTTCCTGTGCGATCACTATATTAGCAGCTACTTCACACTTTGGGTTCAGGTTGAAATTGTTCTAAACTTATACCTAAAGGACCATATTCATTGCCTCACAGTTATTTGAACAGAGATTTAGGATCCTCTCAAAGTGCATTTACTGAATTAAAAAACAAACAAACAAAATCCTAGTATTTTAAATTTATTCCTTCTAAATTCTATCCTATTGATTTTTTTTTTCCTTTTTGGTGTCATTGAATTTCTTCTGAAAATATTTCTGAATCCTGATCCTAGCATGCAATGTATAAGTTTTAAGTTATCCCTTCTAAGTCACTCACAGACTTCATGAGCCCAATCATGGTTAATACTCCCTGAATGCCTTTTGAGATACTGGATCTTGGTTTAAATAAATCCATATACAGTCAATTATTCATGCTCTAATGCACAAAATCACCTATACCTGCTCTGGATAAATGAATGAATAAATGATCCACTTAAGAAGTACATGCACACTGTTGCTCTATTCACTTCACTCCATCTAATTAACCACCAACTATACTTTAATTCTTAACATCTGCAGCCCATACAGTCAGCTGTTCTTTGCCAATGTACAAGTCTGAGTACAACATCAGTATATCTTCCAGTATGTGTCTTCCAGAGTCTGAAAAAGAGGTTTTGCTATTGACCTGATAAATGTTTTCTCTATCTAATGAAGTGGGAAGCGTCCTAATAGCCATCAACAAAGAGAGGAGGACCTCTGTTGATCTGATTCTGAGCAGCTGCAAATGCTAGATCTTGATACAAGTACTTAATACAGATAATATAAAGAGGAAACAACTCAGGTAAAAAGAGAAAAAAGGGAATGAATAAAGGGAATGAACCCTTTTAAAATGTCTTTGAGACCCTAGGTTGTACTTGAGACAGCAACAGTGACAATGAAATTGTACCTCTACTTGTCAGAAAAAAATTATCTAGAGCAAAAATATATTATATCAAATTATCCTTTCCAAAACCTCTAAAATCTATAAAGGCAAGAGAAAAAGCTAATTAAATGTTAATATAATGTAACAACTCATATTCCTTTGGATTAAGGTAATTACAATCTACAGTGACATTTGCTTGGGAGATTGGTGCATTTTATAACACACCAGGGTCCACTGTATACTCTCTGTATAATACATATAGTTTTTGTTTAGTACTTGGAATATAATGTCATTTTAAATGATCATGAGGTTTATTTATTTAGGATATGGAACAGTTTGGTCAAAAATGCAATGCCCCCCATCATAGTCATATTACCACAGGAGAATTTATAATATAATGTCCAAAAATGCCTGACAAACATACCTCCCAGTTTAAGCAGAGGACATTAACACAAGTCCCAATCCCTGACCAGAAGAAAGCATAAGAGCCTATTTAAGATTTATGTATATAGCTACATACACATATATAAAGATCAGGGAAATCTTTCAGAAACAACTTAGACTCGGCCGCTTAAGTTAACTCATATTTTCAGATCATCATTTGGATAATCTCTAATGGAAACACCTAAGTTTACAAGTTGTTCAAGATGCCTTTCCATCGGCTTTTAGGGGAGCTGCAGTTATGTTTTCAATGCTTGAGGGCTGTTTTCCATGCTGTAACTATTTCGGACCCTGGCCGCCCCTGCCCAGGTTTACCTTAGAAACGAGGCTGGCCCTGTATGCTGCCAGGGCCTTCAGGTATTCTTTCTTGGCAGCTTCTGTTTTCCTTTTATATACCTATTAAAAGACCACAATTAGCACCACCTTTAGCGTATAAATTCTCAGCTATAAAATAACTGCTGCACAAATTAGGTCACATAAACACAACTCACATAAAAAAGTTGGTCTCCTTGGCTTTGATTTTTAAATGTTAGCGTGTGCACACGTGCGCGCACACACACACACACACACACACACACGGATATTAAAACAAAACAGAACCCTGCCACCCTCACTGGAGCACAATTTTTATATTTACTATTGCAAATAAGAAAAAGATTTCCGGTTGCAATACGGATTCCTTGAGAATCACTTTTTCCTGAGAACAGCTGAAAACCTCATGCTAAGGCAATAAATAAGGTAGCAAGAAGAATAAGCTTTGCTGCAAATGGCTTACTTTAGAGAAAGTAATGAGTTTCTCCATCAATGTCTTCTTTCCCTCAGATACCTTTCTAAACTACACCAAAACCAGAGGATAAAAACAACAGGTAGAATGATGAAGACAGAAGAGAAAAGAGCAAAGCATTTCAACCTTGGTTTTCTTTTGGAGCAAAATTAAAAGTCAGAAATCATCCAAGCTAGGAGATTTCCATTTGTGACCCCACTGAGTTACATAAATAAAATTCCAGCATATTAAACATGATTTGGGCTTCTCCTTTTCTTAAGTGGTCTGATAGTTGGGTGTTCGATCAACATGCATCTTTCTCTCCAGAGTTTAAAAGTTAGGTGTGGCACTTTTCGAGTCCCTCAGAATTATATTTCTGGGACAGAAAATCACTCTGCTGTCTACAGTAATAAACTCAGTGCAAACTAACAAGAAATTTCTAATGTTGCACCATCCCAACAAAACAAGCTCCTAGGAATGAGTTCCTGAAATCAGTTCATGATTTGTAAATAAAAATCAAGGACTTTCCACTCTTCGTTCCTGAAAAATATTATTCTATTTTATCACTCATAAGGGTTGATCTCTTCTTCTGTGCATATGTAAAAGTTAACTTCTATTAATGGTAATTGGAGTTTCATGCAAGGAGCAAGTGGGGGGACCGACCCCCAAGGAACCCATTCTTCTCTTCATTTGTGTGGAGGAGTTGCAAGGGGAAGGAGAGGAGACGAAGCCCCTAAGGAAGTATCTCCCACCAGCATGGCTAATTTCTGAATACCTCTCATACTGCCTTGCTTTAAAATGAACTTGGAATAAAATTTCAAATGCCCAGTAACAATAATGAGACACGCAGAGGCAGCTTCAAAGTTTGGAAACCCACCAGGACAGCACAAGGGTTCAGAAAGATGATCAATGGAAAGGCAAGCGGGATGGACCTAATCCCTTTGTAGTGCCCTTTTTGAACAAAAGGGGAAACATTCCACATTATTTAAAATGAAAAGATTATCATCAAAAGTTTATGCTTGCAGGATACTGCCTGGATTTCTTTCAGCCTTCCTCTGAATGGGTTCTGAACATGCACCCATAAGCTGACAGAGAAATCAATATAACTGGAGAGTTGTTTAGATTTATACGTCTAGGTTTTTAAATTCCATCGCTTAGAAAAGGCTTTCAAAAGAAGCAATCATATTAAGTGAACACATGCACTCAGAAAAGGTGTGAGGAATATTTTAAATGATCATGAGGTTTATTTATGGAACCTTGATGGGTCTTTGTCTCACCTGCTTTTGTTCTTCTCCAAGGCTGTCCCACATAGATGCTACAATTTTTGAGACCTCTCCAAAGGTTGCATTGGGGTTTTGACCTTTAATTGCAGCCTGTGTGTCTCTGAAAAACAGGGCATATGCTGACACTGGCTTCTGTGGCTCATTGGGATCTTTCTTTTTCTTTTTCTTTGGAGTCTTGGGCTTCTTGCCAGAGTCTGGAGCAGCTCTTTTCTCTCCAATGGCCTGCAAAGCAGGAAGAAAATTCACTGCCTAGAATGTACTTGCAGAGAATGCAACAAGACTTAACTCAGATCCATAATTGTTCTTTGAAGGTTTTGTTAGGCATCATCAACAGATGAATCACCACCAAAACCGGGGGAGGGGTAAACTTGCTTGGAGTTAACCAGACAGCAGAGATTAGCATTTAGAACATCGATTAATGAGACCCAGAAGTATCTTCAATACATTCACAACATATGCTCTAAATAGCAATTATGAGTAATGAAAAACAGTACACTCTGTACCAGGCAATGCTATATAGATGCTATACTACACATGTATACATCAGCGAAGTATTTTGTATTTTCAGAGGTTTTAGAAGTAAAACCTAAATAATATTCAGGATGTTGATCATATTCAAATATTTTAAATGAGGTCCCTAGCCATAGTCACATGCCATATATGTGATCTGTCTGAATTGATTTGTTTTTTGAGGCTGATTTTATTCTTTTACCAGAATGTTACTTTGCTAATGGCTCTCCAGAAACTCAAATGGAAATTAGCTCCAATTTCTATACTTGCTCCATAAGGACAAGGTCATCTTTATTTTCTAAAATAACAATAATTTTCTAAATATTAACAGCAAATGTAAAAATGTCAAAACTACTTTAAGTGGAGATAAAAGTGAAATTGATACTCTCCACAAAATTAAAAACCTGTAAAAAAAAAAAAAAAAAAAGGAGCAATAGTTGATACTTAAAAATCACTAAGAAGACTAAAGAGAAGATGTTTGTTATTTGTGGCAAGTAACCCTGCTCACAAGAATGCTACCACAGAGACTCACACACATTCACCAGATGAACTCTGAGAGATCAGAACCATAAACTGATATGGGTATAGTTTCCTAGTTTAAAGATAACGCAGCTCCATATTCACCCGCTACCATCATCTAAGTTCACTGATCATTTAATATACTTATCAGAGAAGCAGGGAAATGATTTGTAAATGTTTTATTCCCCTGGATCACAATATCAAAGATAATTTTGCAGTTAACTTCACCAAGAATCCTGCAATGTTTGACAAAATCTGTTCTCAAAGCCAGCCTTGGGCAAGATCAACCAAGATAGATTCAAGTTACTAACAGATTGGCTTTTTAATGGCTTGAATTCTAATTCAAATTTTTCCTAGAGTATTATTTACTTTCTAAATGAGGGTCATTTGGAATTTTTCCCATTTACTAAAATTCTTAGTAAGGAAATTTTCTTAGAGAGCTCTGAACCCTCAGGGAAGAGTTAAGAAACCACTGGTCTACCTCTAGGGGAGCCTATTGTTTGCACTATTTAAGTGATAACAGCATCCACACTTTATCTGAGCAGTTTATAAGCTTCAGATGGTTTTAAGTCATATCTTTCTTCTCCTCCAAAATGTCATCTTTCATAACTCACACAATTAATTCAATAATTCTCTAGAGCCCATAGTCTTTTTTCTAAATTTTCAAAATAAGTGAGACTTGTTTAATTCTACTTAATGAACGTGAATTTCCAAGACAGTCAGATGCCTTTCAGTTAGAGCTTCACTTGGAGCCAAGTTTAACTTCAATGAAAAACATTATTTAAACAAGAAAAACTATATACAGACACACACATTTTTCTAGTTGAGTCCAACAACTATATTCTTCTCCTGGAAGAAAATCCGGCACTGTTAGTGCCACAATACCCTGACCAATGGCAAGATGCTATTACTTTCCAGAGGAGCATTTTTTCCAAGTGAGAGGAGTTCAATTTCATTCTCTGTAAAACAATATTCAAACGTCAAACACCTTTGATGCCTTTCTTGGATAACCATGATGTGCCCTAATCATTATTACTTTTTAAGAATAAACCAGAAACGTGGAGTCTCACAATTTAAATAAAAATTCAGAATTAATTCTCCTAAGGAAATTTTTGTGTCATTGACTTAAAAGGGTTTGGACAGAACGCTGGAGAAAAAGATTTACCCCAAAGAGACATAATCAATGATAGTTTAAATCTTCCTTTCTCAGCTAAGGTTCAATGAAGATAAATTGGCTTTATTGTCGTTACACAAAACCTAGACCCTCGCTTAAAATGGAGCAAGCTAGGAGTCCCATAGGAGGTCCTCTTTAAGATGACAATTTCTGTTTGGTACAGCGGCAAGTATGAAGATCCATGGACGTGTGAGTGGAGGGAAAGGAATCCCTTTGAATTGTAATGGCTAAGCGGTTACGTAACCCCATCTGTTCATATCCCTCAAGAGTCTTTAACCATTACTTCTCAATCCTCTAGACTGAAGTTCTGTGAATGTGAGAAGACTGTCAGTGCATTTACCATTCCTGGGCCCAATGGGGGTGCTAACGTGATATTATAGACTAAACCGTTCATCTCGAAACCCCTTCGATTTCCACAGCGTCACTCGAAACTCCCTCCCCTGTTCCTCATTACTCTTAATCTTCTCTAGCTTCTCTTCTTCCTTTTGCTACTTAGAAATAAATGATGCTCAGGGTTCTGTCCTTGACAGAAGTCCTGATTACTTTCACATCTTCTCATCCATGTGCTGATGGTCCCAAAATCTATAGTTCCAGTTCCCATGAACTGAGTTCTAGACTCCAATGTAAGCACCTCAAATTCAACTCTAACATCCTAAACTCTCATGTTCCCCATGGGGGAGAACACTCCTCTCTTTGTGGGTTGCTCCTCTCATTTGCTGGTAGCCATTCTGGCTCTCAGACTAAAATCCAATTTGTCTCTTCCTCAAATTCCAGTGGATCACCAAATCCTTAGAATGTTTATGATTTTCACTCCTAAAATGCCTGCTAACCTGGTACCTCCTGTCCATTCCCTCCCTTGATGAAACGAAACATAACAAAAGAGTCTTCTAATTAATTGCCGTTTCTTTGGTCCCTCCCTTTATAAGGCATTCTATATATATAGCCAAAGTTATCTCTTTAAAGCATAAATTACTTATGCCATTCCTTGATGCAAATAATAAATCGTCTCTCAGCTAACAACAGAAGAAAGACCACCACATTTAAGCCATTTTATTCTTCAGCTTCTATTTCTCTCTTCCCCCATATCAAACTTCATTATAGCTATAAATAGCATGTACTTCCACTGTTCCTCATGAGCCCCTACCAAAATGCTGGCCTCTGTCTTCTGCCTCACAAACTTTTATTCATCCTCTTAGACCTAATTCAAATATCACTTTCTCAGTAAAGTCTTCCTCAAATCACTCTCCCAAGTAGAATCGATTAGAATCTCAGCACACCAGATACATCAATTATATCACTAATCACATCTGGAGCTAGTTTTAAACATTGCTATTCATCTCCAGTGGGGAGTCTCATGAGCAGTAGTTCTCTTATACATCTCTATATCACAAGAACCAAACAAAATGCCAAGCACAGAGTAGGTATACAGCACGTAATTAATGAGTGATTAATGAGTAATTATGTACTATTACAGTACTCTTTTTCATTATTCTAAGCATTTGGAAAAGTCATACCTGGAATGCAGTTTTTATTTCAAACTATGTATCATTTAAAATTATACATTTCCCATGACGAAGGTAAAAATGTAAGACGATGAGAATGAACTCAGAGATAAATATCACTGAAGGTGCAAGGCTGTCAAATGTGGCAGCAGCTTGACTGACACACTGGATGAAACTTGCTCACATGGACATTAATTTAGAACCAGAGCAGTTTAGAATTTCTGGAATGTCTAGAATTTCTAGAAATTTGTAGCAGGGAGTCCAAGCCCTCCTTTTGCAGATTAGAAAAATTGGGCCTACAAGAGTTAAATAACATGTCCAGTGCCTTACAGCTATACTAGGAGAAGCCAGATCTCTCAATTTCCAGTCCAATATACTTTCTACAGAAAATAAATGAAACAGTGAAGAAAAACAACAAACCATCATACATTTAAATGCTACTCCAAATCTATGAAGAAAAACAAGGTAACACCATGAATGAAATTCAAACAGCATGGGGTGATTCCATATTCTCTGGCAGGTTACACACTAAGGCAGTTCTAACTTACTCTGTTGGCTTCATCAGCATCCTCTTCATTGATGGAGCTGGAAGGGGAGGGAGTGGCCGATTTGCTTGCTGGAGGTGAAGGAGATGTGTGAGGCATACTGGCACCTCCCAAATTCAACCCCAACTGGGCGCTGAGCTGAGACTGGTTGATGGTGGTGAGCTGGGCAGGAGGCATGACCCCAGAACGCACAGCATCGGTCATGTGGACGATGGACCGCATGATCAGGGAGGGATCCTGCCGGTACTGGGACACTTGTGTGTGGCTCTGATCCTAGAAAGGCAGCAGCAAAGGGGGAAAAGATATCAGTTTTTCCAGATATCAGGGAACTGATTAGATTAGCATCTCCTTAGATAGGTTTGAACTGTTGCAATGTTGATAGGTCTGACCTATTGCAGGATGATGGTCTCCGTTCATTTATTAAATGTAAGGACCCATGCCAAGAAGTTGAAAGGTGAGAAGCACAAAATCCAAATATCTAGTCCAGAATATTTCATTATAGAACTGTCAGTGGATAAGGAAGGCAGGAAGGAAGGAAGGAGGGAGGGAGGGAGGGAAAAAAGAAGGAAGAAAGGAAATTAGCAAAACTAAATATAATCTTTAGCTCTTGTTTCTGATTGAGGAAACTGGTGGCAGAGAAAGGAATGAAGCAGAGACTCCACCCATTCAGGCTCATCCATTAGTTTACCATCCTTCCCACACACATAGCTGTTATGAGAGAAGGCAAAGCCATTCTTTATTTTATTCTCCCAGAAATGCACAAGACATGCAGAGGATGGGCCAGCAAAGCACAGAGCTTTAGTTTCACAGAGCAAACATCTGTTTGCTTTAGGGCACCCTTTCTGTGAAATCCTCTGTGGTTAACCAGACGGTCATTCCGATTCTGAATTACATTGTCAGCGGCATCTGGAAGTCATTCAATGTCTTTTGGTTTGGATATCACTTTTTTCATTTAAACCTACTTTGTTTTCTTTTGTTCAATCCACCAAGATTTAATGTACTAATGAGTTTTTTCGTAAATACGTATAAGAAAAAAATCATTAAAAAAAAGATGGTAGAGATCATCAGAAATAGCTTTTTCTGAAACTTATTGCAGTTACTTTACATGAAACTTTCTCTGTTCTTGGTAGTCATACAGAAAGGCCTTAGAGTTGTTGCTGCTTGTTCTCTATTTTTTTTTTTAATTCCAAAGAATCAAAAAATGAAGACACGCTTTTCAAATGACTTACTTTAAGACATGTCATTTGGAGTGAGTCTGTGATTTTGCTGAAACCAAATTCTCTTGACTCACAGTGACCCAGAATCTAATTTTATACACAAGCCTATGAATTCTTAACTGTTCCTTTTTTGAGTCCTTCTGATAAGGCTTATTTTTGCTCTTTAAAGAAGCAGAATGAATTGTAAATAACTAAATTGGAGCATTTGGTTTCTTCGTATTAAATATATAAATGCCACTCAGTAAGAAGATCTATCAAAGAAAACTAGTTAAATAAATCATGGTCTACCCATACGTCAAAGTGTTATGAAGCTTTTAAGAATAATGAATTAGATTTATGTGCATTGACCTAGGGCAGAGTTTCTCAATTTCAGCTCTCTTGACATTTTGGACCAGATAATTTTTATTGTAGGGGCTTGTCCTGCATATTGAGGGGGCTTGTCCTGCGTATTGTAGGTACTCAGATGCATCCCCAGCCTCTACCCACTAGATGCTAACGACGTCACTCCCCGTACCAGTCATGACAATGAAAAATGTCTCCAGACTTTGCCCCTGGCAGGGCAAAACCACTCCCAGTAGAGAACCACTAGCCTACCCAAGATACAGTACATAAAAGGCAAGTTAAAAAATTACTATACGACAGCCTCATTTCCTTTGAGGAAAAAAAAATGTGTATCCTAACATTAACAATGGTTACATTATAAGGGGTAGAATGGGAGGGGCAAGCGGGGGAGAGTTGCAACTCTTTCTATGTACGTGTGTATGCCATTTTGATAAGCTGTGACCACAAAACAAAAGTAAACAAAAACTAAAACACTTTAATCAGAAAAAAAAAAAGAAGATAATGCAAGTGGTTAAAAGAGTCCGTCAACAAGTGTTAGAATATTAAATACATACATTTTCCATTTCTTAATAATTTCTGAATAATTACTGTGAAATCCTGGAGGCAAGTGTCACGAGTATCAGACCACCACACTCCCTTGTATCACTGGCAATGTTCTCCTTCATTATTCCTACAATATTATGTTCTACTTGCAGGTGTCTTTCTGCAGATTGTGTGGATTCTATGTTATCCGTTCATCCTAATTATTATTTTTTTATTGGAATTCTACCACATTTACTCATTTCTCCTAGAAAATCTGAGCTATCTGTTCAGTCTTCCATGTTCTCTTAAAGTTTAACCATTGCTCCCTGACATAACTTCCACCCCCAAACTACTGGTAATTATGCCATCTAGCTTATTCTAAATTTTCTTATTCCTATATGTCTTTCAGAATGCTTTTATTTTTTGTTTGTCTGTTTGTTTTTAGATGGAGTCTCACTCTGTTGTCCAGGCTGGAGTGCAATGGCACGATCTCGGCTCACTGCAACCTCTGCCTCCGAGGTTCAAGTGATTCTCCTGCCTCAGCCTCCTGAGTAGCTGAAACTACAGGCGTGCACCACCACACCTGCCTGATTTTTGTATTTTTAGTAGAGATGGGGTTTCACCATGTTGGTCAGGCTTGTCTCAAACTCCTGACCTCAAGTGATCTGCCCACCTCGGCCTCCCAAAGTGCTGGGATTACAGGCATGAGGCACCGCACCCGACCCAGAATGCTTTTTAAAAATCTTTCCATCTTATTTAAATCTAGATGTTTTAAAGTATCCATAGGCAAATTCCAGGGCACATTTAAATGAAGTATTTTAATTCTGACTGTATAATACTAAATTAGTTAACTGGTATGGCCATGGAATGTGATCATCTGATTTCTGCAGTGTTCTCACTAGCAGAGAATTACTTTGCTCTCTTTGCTCCAATGCCTATGAAAATCTGCACATATAGGTGCTCGACTGACTCACCCCACACCCAGAGCATTTTTTAGATGGCTCTCATGGCCAAACACAAGGCCAAGAAGCGTGTCTCCTCGGCTTCAGCAGCCCTTCCTGAATTCCATCTGCAATTTACGCCTTTATTATGGATCTTGTTGCTGGGGAGCTCCTGCTGATGGACAGCCAAGGTTTACCGTACTAAAAAGGAAGTTTTACTGTGCGTTTATTACTATGTGCCAGCATTTGTGCTAAGCCTAATATGCACTTTCTAATTTAACCCCCTAGATTGCTTTCTGCATTAGATACTAGTACTATACTCATTCTTAGACACATAAGAATGATTCCCCAGGCCCCCAGGCTAGCTAGTGAATGCTTGACAGAAAACCTGGGCCCTAGAGAGCCATGGTATCTTCATGGTAGAGGTGTGTCCTGGCAGAGAGAGATGAATGAGACTCTGGGATCTCCACTGCCATCATCCTCTTTTAACAAAATCAACTCCATTTCCATTTGTTTTATAAATTGAGGTTCCTCATAATATTTCATTACAAAAACAAAACAAAACCAAGGTTCTGTTGCAGGGTGACAGTATGGAAACCATTCCTGAAGAGTACTGGTGGTGGGGCCAAGGTTTTGCCAAAACTTAGAATCATCACATAGTCTTCAGATCCAAAAATATGCCATCTCCCACTGGACAAGATACCAAGGACCTCTAGACTATTTTTAAAGTAACCTCTGACCCACATAATTGATGCATCAAAATGTGCTACCACTCACCATGGTTCACAGTTAGTCGATAATAACTTCCTATGAGTGAAGATTATAGTATAAGAAGATCAATGGCTAAAGTGTCTCTTTGGAAATTCAAGCTCCTTTAGGGCCACCAATTATTAACAACTGCCTTGGGGAACTTGAGGATCCTCAACAGCTCCAATCACTTTCCATAAAAGTAACCTTTAAAAGATGTTACCCTCGATCTTAGGACTACCACATAAGAAGAGAAAGATGTCAGCTCAGTATAAAAGTATTTATTGAGCACCTACTATGTATCAGGCCAGAGAAGGCAATATATCAAACCTTATATCTTCAAGAACTAGGAAATTACCATGTGATTATTTTACACATTAAACAAAATCCTGAATGGATGAACAAATTTACTACAACAACGTGTAGGCCAGAATAATTTTTATATACTCCCACCAAAATTGCTCACAATTTTTCCCAGTAGTAGTGACACAATAAGGAAATGTATAACTATGAATATAGCCCAGAGGAATTTAATGTGCTTTTGTTAATATTACTTCTCACTTAGAAAAACTAAGTCCTGAAAGATTTACCAGTGATCATTTAAAGGCAAAGCAGCTACTGGGTTATAATAGATTGCCCACTATCATAACCAACAGTAAGAGTTGAATGCTGGTAGCTTTTTCAACTCCTTTCACAATTACATTTTATATGTACTCTTCCTTTATATCATTTCCTAAATTTCTCAGTATTTGGGAAAAACTCATTCTCTCTTCCTTGTCTTGTTTTGTCTTCTAATTGGCGATATTAGATAAGAGTTTCTCAACCTAAGTGGTACTGACATTTTGGTCTGGATGATCCTTTGTTGGGGGAGGGATATTCTGTACATCATAGAATATTTAGCAGCATCTCTGGCCTCTACCCACTAGATACCAGCAGCCACCCCTGCCCTACCAGGTTGTGACAATCAAAATGTATCCAAACTTTGGCAAATGTCAAAATCCCCTTCATTTGCAAACTACTGTATTAGACCTAAAATATCATAAAAATCATCTTCTTAGGGGAGGCAGGTAGTGAATGTTCAAAGCTTATGTTCTGTTCCTAAAAATAGAAATCATCCACATAAACAAGATTCCAATTTTGATAAATATTGGGAAGAAAATAAATAGGTTATACAAAAAAGAGTTATTGGGGAAGGATAGCTACATTTAATTGGGTCAATAGGAAAGGCCTCTCAAAAAAGATGGCATTTGAGCTGATGCTGAAGGATGAGGAGAAGCCAACTGTGAAGTGAAGGAAAAAGTATGTTCCATGCAGAGGGAACAGCATGTGCAAGGTCTGAAGTTGGAGAGAACTTGACATCCTTGAGAAATGAAAAGGTGGACAGGAAAGCTGGGTGCAGGGTAGGCAAGGTAAAGGGTGAAACACAATAGGCTTGGAGAGATTGGCCTAATTGTGTAAGGTGGGGAAATCATGGGATACTTCCCCAAGGAGATGACCTACTATG